CTTTAATAAATTAAATCCACTTACGTTATTACTAAAAGTAATATAAATAACACAGCTAATGAGTTGTTTTTGTAGTTAGTCTGGGCCTTTTTCAATATTATTTTTTGACATAGTCGAAGACAGTGCATAGCAGCAAGTTATCATTGTTCAAAACACCTGTCACTTATCAGTTGAGGGTGCTGGCCTGGAGCTAGCCAAACATTGGTGCCAGGAATTAGTTTGTCGTTTGTGTTGAAACAGCTTGACCACCAACCATTTTTACCAACTGAATCCGACTTACTTCTGTTACTTGTGTCATCATCGTCAGACCATCCGTATTTTGGTTTTTCTGTATGTCCTGTCCACATATAGTGAATTGACAATAAAAATGTTTGATCTTGATCCTGAGCAGGGCTGTAGAGATAAAATAAAGGGTTTGTAAGCCTATGAGAATGTTCTTTTTGGCAGATGAATCAAAACTAGTCTTTTCTTAAGTCACATCAGCTCAGAATTTGAGCTTTAAAAAAAGAAAGGAACACCATCCTCACAGTGAAACACTGAGGCTCAGTTATGTTCCGGGGTTATGTTGTTGTGTGTGGCCCAAGGTGTTGAATCTGTGCAGGACACAATGAAATCAATAGAACATCAAGGTCTTATTATCAAGGCATGTCATGGATTCTCCAACAGGTTAATAACCCACAACATACATCTAAAAGCACCAAGAGTGGATGATTTAAAACAAACAAACATTGCACTGTTTTGAATTGGCCTGCTATGAGTTATGATATTAGTCCAGCTGAACATGTTGATCAGCCACAACATTAAAACCACCTGCCTAATATGATATAGGTCCCCCTCGTGACACCAAAACAGCTCTGACTCTTTGAGGCATGGTACCCATCAAATCTGAGAGAACTGGAGTAGTTTGTCAAAGAAGAGTGAAGCCCACCTATGGAGTGTAAAAGTCTCATTAAGACCTACAAAAAGTGCTTGATTGCACTGACAGTCTCAAAAGGATGTGCTACAAAATATTGGGTTAAGGGTCCCAATAATTTCACCCATGTCATTTTCATTTTTTGTGTTATTTTAAATAATATTGCTTTGAATATCAAAGTATTGTGTCTGTCTGTAAGATCCATCCATTTTGCTCCGCTTATCCGGATCCGGGTCGCGGGGGCAGCAGTCTAAGCAAAGATGCCCAGACTTCCCTCTCTCCAGACACTTACTCCAGCTCCTCCGGGGGAATGCCGCGGCGTTCCCAGGCCAGCCGAGAGACATAGTCCCTCCAGCGTGTCCTGGGCCTTCCCTGGGGCCTCCTCCTGGTGGGCCGTTCCTCCCAATCACACCCCTCCAGGTATCACTGTCGCTGCCCACGTGAGCGCTGAAGTCCCCCAGTAGAACAACGGAGTCCCCAGTTGGGGCATTTTCCAGCACCCCTTCCAGGGACTCCAAGAAGGCCGGGTACTCTACACTGCCATTCGGCCCGTAGGCACAAACGGCAGTGAGAGACCTATCCCCAACCCGAATGTGCAGGGAAACGACCCTCTCGTTCACCGGGGTAAACTCCAACACATGGCGGCTAAGCTGGGGAGCAATGAGCAAGCCCACACCAGCCCGCCGCCTCTCACCGCGGGCAATTCCCCACCAGCGAGGTGACATTCCATGTCCCCAGGGCTAGTCTCCGTGTCCAGAGATCAGGTCGTCGGGGCCCCTGCCTTCGACTGCTGCCCAATCCACTGTGCACTGGCCCCTTACGGATCCTCCTGCAGGTGGTGGGCCCACGGGAGGCTGTCTGTAAGATACAGAAACAAAAAATACAATTAATATTTTAGTTGTTCATTGCATGTTTTGTTCTC